TTTGTTTGTATGTGTGTGTGTGTGGTGTGTGTGTGTACTGTCAAATCAAATCTGACTGGTACAGGAGGAGATTGTCCCTCCTTTTATAGCAGAGCATCTGGTAGATTCAAACCACTCACCTCTGGGTTTGCATTGCAGCTTCTTACCACTAGGCCACCAGGCCTGTTAGTTTGGTTTTTTAATTATCCACATTATAATTCACTTCTCTCTTGAAGTGGGAGACTTCTTAGTGTTGTTGTTCTGTACCGTTGAGTCAGAACTGACGCCCAGCTGATCCTCTGCTGGGTTTTCGGAGGCCGTAAATCACACAGGAGATCGCTCATCTTTCTCCCTTGGAGCTGCTGGTAGATTTGAACCGTATACCTCTGCATTGGCACACAAAAAATATATTTCTCTCTTTTCCTGTCATTTCTTGACCTAGTTGTACAGACCTGTAGAAGAAACACCCTGCCATTTCATAGCCTCCCTGGATGGACTTGTGGAGCTCAACGAAAAACTATTGAGTTGTAAAGAATTTGCTGTTGACTTGGAGGTAACTTGTAATGACTTTCAGTGAAATGTTTACATTTTGACCAGTTCACGTACTCCAGAAGTGTAGAATTAATATTAACTTTCATGTACTTTTTGTTAGAGTTAATATTAACTTTCATCTACTTTTTGTAACAGTTAATCATGCAGTGTGGCTCCATAGCTTTTTCAAAATGATACAGGAGAGCTTAGGGGTAGTGACTTCTTTTCCTCTTGCCTCCTCTGTCTCTGGTGCATTAGCACCACTCTTACAGGAGCTTTCTAGGGCTCACCTGCCTGATGCAGATCTCCACCCGGACAGAGGACTTCATCGTGGACACCCTAGAGCTTCGAAGTGACATGTACATTCTCAACGAGAGCCTCACAGACCCCGCTATCGTTAAGGTCAGCCAGCCTCTCCCGGCTCTTGCCTGTGAGTGCAAGGTCAAAGTGGTTTTCAGCCTATGACATTTTTCCCACACAGACCAATAAGTTGCAGGAGGTAATCGTCACTTCCCACACTAGGGCACCATAAGCTAAACAGCTTTTGTGTCTAAACCCCTGTTGAAACAGTGAAGACTTAGGTCGTTACTGTCCAGGCAAATGTTAAATCATTTTAATCACTACTGTAATGACCCCAAGCCATAGGGATTGTTTGAACTTAATGACTACACTCGAAGCTAATGAGCTGCTTGCTTAGTAACTCTGAGTGCTAGCAGTTTCAAACCTTAAGAGTATGCAGTTAGGAGTGTAGAAGGCCGTGACCCAATTTAAAGGCAACATTTAAAATAGAATCCATCTTAATCTTGATCATGACTTCTAATTCCAGTTACCCAGAGCAGAGTATATTTTGGATTGTGATTCACCTCATGTCAGTAAGCTGTGTGACTTTGTTTTGGGTTCCAGGTCTTCCACGGTGCTGACTCGGACATTGAATGGCTACAGAAGGACTTTGGGCTGTATGTGGTTAACATGTTTGATACCCATCAGGCTGCGCGCCTCCTTAACCTGGGCAGGCACTCACTCGACCATCTCTTGAAGCATTACTGCGCTGTGGAATCGAACAAGCAGTATCAGCTGGCTGACTGGAGAATACGGTCAGTTGGCCCTTGAGCGCATGATGGAAATGTGTGCGGGGCAGAGGACAGCAGGGTGGTTCCTTAACCTCTTGTCTTCAGAGATACAGGCCTCTGGTCGTAGCACCATCTGACTCCCGAGGTGAATGGTGTCGGCCTTTCCTCTAGCCAGTTCTGGTGGCATAGAGCAACAGAAAGGCTCGGGATGATCCATTGAAGGGATTATGTTATGACTCAACTTTCTAAAAATGTGATTGAAAGACATGCACCATGCCAGAATCTATGTAGTATCTGTCTGCATTCACATCTCCCTGGTAGAGGTGTGGTAAAGGTTATCCATGTGTATAAGATGGTCTCTCACAGAGAATTTTAAGGTAAATTGAGTACTTCATTTAACCTTATAGAAAATGTTTCCTGCAGTTTAAGGCTGTAACATTGCCCAGGCACACTTTCTGGCACTCTTGCTCATTTTCAGAGTGAAATTCTAAAGCCACCATTGATTTGAGCCTCTTACTATGTGCCAAGCTCTGAACTATGGGCTTTAAGGATGGTCTTCTGTGTTACAGCCGTTTGTGAAATACCATATTCACATTTCATAAGGAAAATGAGGTCAGAAAGGTTAAGAAATTTATTGAAACAGATTCAAACTCAGGGCTACAGTGCCCTTTCTTCTAAGAGCGGAAAACGCAAAAGTTTTATCATGTACGCTTGTGTGTCGGAGACAGGACGCATGACGTCCCAGGTCTGTCTCTAGTGTTTTTATTTTAATCACATTACTACCCCAGCTTCTTTCTACACAGCTGTTAAAACATAATAGTTTGTCATAGTGAAATACAGGAAATAATAGTGTAACTAGTATTGACTGTGAAAGAATTCTTTGTTGAAAGGATCCAGGAAGGACTTCACACCCACAAAGTAGACAGATTGCTTGTCCTTGGGGAAGGTTGGTGTAAACGTTTGCTCTCTCGTGTCTCTAGGCCTCTCCCTGAGGAAATGCTCCACTACGCCCGGGATGACACGCATTACCTCCTTTACATTTATGACAAGATGAGGCTGGAGCTGTGGGAGCGAGGCAACGAGCAGCCTGTGCAGCTGCAGGTGGTGTGGCAGCGGAGCAGGGATATCTGCCTCAAGGTAGAACGGCACCACAGTGGGCAAACCTCAGCACTCCCCCGGGCTCTTTGTTCCCAGTTAGGACAAGAGCCAACCTTCTGAAGAGCACAAGGCACAGTTTGGTTTCCTATCAATCATGAATGTTCTCTAACATTTTACAGAAATTCATCAAGCCTATTTACACGAGTGAGTCCTATCTTGAACTATATAGGAAGCAGAAGAAGCACCTCAACACACAGCAGTTGACTGCCTTTCAGCTGCTGTTCGCCTGGAGGGATAAAACGGCACGAAGGGAAGATGAAAGCTATGGGTGAGTCTTGTAATAAGTGCATCCGCAGTGCTCCTTGGAGGTAAGGGTGGTGAAGCCTCATCTCATGTATTTGGGGCATGGTATTAGGAAGGGCCAGTCCTTGGAAAAAGACATCATGCTTGAAAAGGTCACTGAAAGTGAGGAAGACCCTCAACAAGCTTGGCATAGTAACTTGTGACAGTGGGCTCAAGTGTGTCAGAGATGGTGAGGATGGCACAGGATAGCACAGGGTTCAGATCCATTGCTCATAGGGCCCTTGTCACAACATCTAGACTAAGCAGGCCTAGGAACAGGGAACAATGAATAATGGACTTTTTCATTTCTTTGCCATTAAAGTTGGTTTTATTTTCCCCTGGGTTATATCATTTGATGGAACTCACTATCTGAATTGAACATGCTCCCATGGTGTGCTTTGTTCCAGATACGTCCTGCCGAACCATATGATGCTAAAGATTGCTGAAGAACTGCCTAAGTAAGTCTGAGAGCTGATTAATAGTATGACTTTCTCAGAGAGCTCATCTCCTGCAAAGTCAGGCATTTCTTACTACCGTTATTACCCAGTTCTGTTTATTCGGAGAACATTAGTGCTGTAAGAAAGTTAGCAAGTCCAAGAGTGTCTGTCCTCGGGCTGCTGTTTAACAGTGAAATCTAATGTACTGGAACGATTTCACCAGTTATGCTTTTATGGAGTCTAGTGTAAGGCTCCCAGCCTGCGGCATCTGCTTTCAGTGGCGGACAGTGTCGCAGTCTTCCATCAGTATTCTAATCCAAATGAAGCGTCCTGTGATTTTAAGTGATTTATTGTATCAATTGAAGTATAAGCAAAGGACCAAAATGAATACTCTCTTGTTCACCCAATTGGAGAATTGAGAATTAGCAATACCGTGATTGTGTACCAGCTGTGCTTGTTTGTAGAAGTCAGACATTAATGTCTGAATGTGTCTCCTTAGTCTTGAGTTCAGCCCTGGTGCTCTGATCTCCACCCAAGCACTGTTCTTGTCCTGGAGCCTGAAGGATTGTGTTTCTTCCTTGTCTTCAGGGAACCTCAGGGCATCATAGCTTGTTGTAACCCAGTCCCACCTCTTGTCCGGCAGCAGATCAATGAAATGCATCTTTTAATCCAGCAGGCTCGAGAGATGCCCCTGCTCAAGGTAAGATTTTTTTACTAAAGAACTCCACCAAGCAGACCTTTCTACGAGGATTTTCTTCCATTGTCTTCTCTTGTATACATAAGCTAGAGGAAATAATAGGTTAAACACTGTGGGAATGTCTTCTTGGATCCAGCTCCCTTTCCCCTTCCCCCAGGATATCCAGGAACTAAAATGCATGCTTCTCACTGTGGCATTTGGACAAGAACAAACTGGGAGGAGGGTAGAGAGAATGGTGCAGCGGTGAATGAATGGAAACCCCAAATCTCTATAAATGTTTATGAAAATTAATAAAATATAATTATAGGAAAAAAAAATAAAATGCATGCTTCTCATTTTATGACCTTATCTTTGATGATCTAACAGTAATTAATTCCTAGTAACTGGGCCAATTTAGATGTTCTCAGGCAGTTAACCTGGCAAGAGGAGTAGATTGGGAATCACAGCACAGGAGGTCATTTTGGAGGCTTGGCAGTGGTCCATGTGTGAAGCAACTGCTGCTCCTCAATGAGCATATTGTTGTTATGTGCATCGAGTCACCTGCAACTCAAAGCGACCCTATGTACAACAGCCCTAAACCCTGCTCTACCCTGTGCCAGTTTTACTGTCTCTGACACACCTACTCCCATTACCCCAACCACTGAATCAGTCCAGCTCATCGAGTGTCTTCCTCACCTGCACTGTCTCTCCACCCTCCCAAGCGTGACATCCTTCTCCAAGGACTGGTCCCCCTTGCAGCATGTCCAAAGTATCAGATGAAGCTTCAGAATCCTTGCCTCCAAGGAGCATCCTGATTTCACCCTCTCCAGGACGAACCTGTTTGTTCTCCTAGCAATCCATGGTATTTTCAATACTCTTCTCCAGCACAGCTCAGAGGCATCACTTCTTCTTTCATCCCTAGTCATTGTCCAGCTTTCTGATGCATAGCAAGTAATTGCAAAGCCTGTGGCCTGGATCAGGTGCACCTTAGTCTCCAGACGGACATTGTTGCTCATTAGCACTTTGGAGAAGTCCCTGAGAACAGACTTTCCCAGTGCAGTTTGTCTTTTCATTCCTGGCTCCTGGTACCAAGAGTGTTGACTGTGGAGCCTAATGAACATAGTAATCACAAAAGTGGAAGAGAAAGGACAGATAAAAGAAGCATCTTCACAGTCAACAACGGGTGAGACTAGTGGCAGATGCTAAAGGGGATTGCCATTTATTCCTACGCAGTGTTAGTACTTTAAACTTTTTTTTTTTCAATGATGATGATGATAATGATGTGTGTACCATCAAATCAAATCTGACTGGTACCAGAGGAGATTGCCCCTCCTCCAGCAGAGCATCTGGTGGATTCGAACTGCATACCTCTGGGATTGCAGTGCAGCTTCTTGCCACTAGGCCACCAGAGCTCCCTAGTACTTTAAACTTTTAAAAGGTTGTTGGATATGAGGCAGTAGAGGTGGAGTCAAAGAAAACTCCGTCCAAATTTAAAGAGTAGATGGCTAGGAGAATACAAGAACCAAGAACACCGGTTGAAACCCGTATCTGTTATCTGTAGAGATGACTCCCAACTCATGTCGTCTCCATGTGCATCCTAGCACAACTGTGACCCATGCTATTTCCAGTGCCTGGGGTTTTGCCATAAACCTTGAAGCCTTTCTTCCAAGGTGCCTCTGGATGGACCCAAACCTCCAACCTCCCAGTTAGCACAGGAGCCAGTACAGCAGCATGCATTTATACATGCTTGTGTCCAAAATACAGCTCATTCAAATAAGCTGCCATGATTTCACTGGAACGGTTTTCAAAGTGTTGATTCAGTGTTAATATATGGTAATTGATATTTGAAAGATTGTTGATGTGGGGAGACTTAAAATTAGCCTTCTTAGAGTGTAAAAGAAGAGAATCTGAAGATAAACACAGCTGCTATTTTTATTCTAATATTTAAGCACAGTTGCCATTTTTAACCTAATAGTTCCTAGGCCCACACTTTCTCCAAGTTAAGGGAGGAACCTTGGTTATGAAAAATCATTTTCAAACTTATTGGAACCCTCCTATATTAAGGTTAGTCATGAGACAAAGCTTTAGTCTTTCATTCAGCAAGTAATTATTGTATCTGATGTGCTTACCAAGGTGTGCAGAGAGACCTGGAGGACAGCCACCTGGCTGACTGACAGGAAGAGATCGGTATTTGTTCCCATTCCTAGGAAAGGTGACCCAACAGAGTGCGGAAATTATCGAACAGTATCATTAATATCAAATGCAAGCAAGATTCTGCTGAAAATGATCCAATAATGACTGGAGCAACACGTCAACAGAGAATTGCCAGATATGCGGGCTGGGTTTAGAATAGGCTGTAGTACTAGGGACATTATAGCTAATGTTAGATGGATCTTGGCTGAAAGCAGAGCGTCCCAGAGGAATGTCTGTCTGTGTTTCATTGACTATGCAAAGGCATTTGACGGTGTGGATCACAACAAACTGTGCCTGACTTTGAGAAGAATGGGAATCCAAGAACATTTGATTGTGCTTATGTGAAACCTATACTTGGGACCAGGAGTCAGTCGTCAGAACAGAGCAAGGAGAACACTGCATGATTCAAATCAGGAAGAGTGTCTGCCAGGGATTTATTCTGTCTCCATACCTTTTCAGTCTGTATGCAGAATAGATCATCTGGGAGTCTGGGCTGTATGAGGAGGAATGTGGCATCAGGATTGGAGGAAGATTCATCAACCACCTATGTTATGCAGATAACACAACCCTGCTTGCTTGCTAGAACTGAGGAGGACCTGAAGCACTTGCTGCAGAAGGTTAAGGACTGCAGCCTTCAATAAAGATAGAAGGTCAATATCAAGAAAACAAAGCTGCTCACCACTGAGCCAATTGGCAGCATCATAATGCATGGTGAAGAGATTGAGATAGTTAACAGTTTTAATTTGCTTGGCTCCATAATCAATACTCTTGGTACCAGCAGCCAAGAAATCAACAGATGAACTGCGTTGGGAAAGTTGCCTGTCAGGGTCCTCTCCAGAGTACTGAAGAGCTATGATGTCAGACTGCAGACGAAGATGTGCCTGATCCAGACCATAGTCTTCACAATTGCTTGTTATGTGTCAGAGAGATGGACAGTGACTAAGGATGATAGAAAGAGAATTGATGCCTTTGAGCTGTGGTGCTGGAGAAGAGTGTTGAATATACCATGGACTGATAGGAGAACAAACATATTTGTCCTGAAGAGGGTGAAACCGGGCTGCTCCTTAGAGGCAAGGATTCTGAAGCTTCGTCTGACATACTTTGGACATGTTAAAAGGATGCACCAGTCCTTAGCGATGGCATATTTGGAAGGGTGAAAGTACAACACAAGAGAGGAAGACCCTCGATGAGATGGATTGAATCAGCGATTGGGATATTGGGAGTAGGTATGTCAGTGACAGTGCGATTGGCACAGGATAGAGCAAGGTTTAGGGCTGTTGTACATAGGGGCACTATCAGTTGCAAGCGACTCAGTGACACATAACAACAACATGCGCCAGGCAGTATTCAGATTGAAGACAAGAGAGATATTCCCTGGATCCTTGACCAACACCAGAGTCTAGCAGAGGAACATTGTTAAGGGCTGGGGAGGGTGTGAATGTGTGTGTGTCATGTTGAAACAGCTTGCCTCTGATTCTCTGTTCGTCCTCTTTAGTCTGAAGCTGCAGCTGTAGTGAAGAAGAGCGGACCACTGCCCGGTTCTGAGGTAGGGAGTTGTATTAGCTGCCTCTCTTTGTGAAGAAAATACCTGTCAAAGCCACTGCAACCTCTGTGCTAGAGTGTCTCACACTCCAGGGGAAAGTCACTGCCCTCCTAGAAGTTTTTCATACCAGCCTGTTGATTTTCTTTTTCATGCAGAGGTTGGAGAATGTTCTTTTCGGACCACATGACCGCTCCCATGCTCCTCCAGATGGCATTCCTTTCATCCCGACCAATGGTAATGTGAAAGCCTTTTGGAAGAGCCTGGCAAACAGCCTTGTATAAAATCCAGCCCGTCTTGTCCTTACTGACTTCTGCACCTACAGGACCTGTGCCAGTTCAGAAACCAGCAAGCCTCTTCTCTGACCACAATGAGGATGAAACCTCACTGGATACTTGTTTGGTTGCTTCTGCTGTCATCACATTATTTAACGTAAGTAATACAGAAATTTGTTTAAGGTGATGTGGGTTCACAGGGATTTATTGGGTTTATCAGACAGGCTGTCTGCCGAGAGCATACCCTTCTGAAAGTGATGCCAAGAGTGCAAACCCAGAGTGGTGGGGAAAGGCATGAGACTGCCTGGCGAGGCGGTGCTTACTGTTCTGGAGGAGGAGGTCTGTGTACTCGTGAACCCTGTGGTGGGAGAACTCCGCAGGGAAAGACTGGTGTCCTTGAACACATGAGGTAGGGAGCTGTGGGGGCCTAATGGCAAGGAGTTGCACCGGTAACCCAGAGGTACACTGTCTGAATCCCCCCACTGCTCTGTGGGAGAAAGGTGGACAGTCTCCCTTCATGTGATTAACTGCCTCTGAAAACCCACTGGAGGGTCAGCTGTGGGTCGATCCCAACTCAGTGGTACACAACAACATCCATGCATAAGGAGGAGTATGAAGGCTGATTCAACATAGAAGCAGGGCTTTTCATAAATGCTGCAGTCGGGTTCATTCCAGAAGGGGCGGAGTAAGTAGCTGGTGAACTGTAGAATATGAGCTGCACTTCCCTTCCAGGCAGGTGCCATCACTATCTTTTGCCTGAAAACTTTGAAGAGCATTTCTCTATGCCGTGACATAATAGAAAAATGAAGAGCTGGTCTGCAGGATAGGAAGATAGTAGAGACTTAGGAGTCATGTTAAGTAGTGGCTTCAGCCAGTCTGAACGAAGGCTCAGTACAGCTAAATGGACCTGGAATCTGCACTGACTTGTGATGAAGCCTGTCTCTTTGTCCTCTCTGCTGAATAGATTCTTATTTATACAAGTAGCTTGAACCATGGAAGCCTTATAAACGAAAGCCCAGGGCACCTGCACTGGTCAAGACTGATGAATCCGGAAATTCCAGGAATAAAGAGAGGGCACCTATGAGACTCCCAATATGGCAGAAAATGGCCAGTGCGATAGGAAGGGACAATCACAAAGAAGCTAGAATACTCTTCTGGACTAAGTGTTGAGCTTAGCAATTTTTCAAGTGATCAGCTGGTGCTGCAGCAGATTAAAGCGTCAGAATTCACAGTTCTGTCGCCTAGAATGCTGAGCCAAAGCCAGCAAGTGGAAGGGCACCTGTGAAAGCTGCTAACCTGGACTTGATTTTTAAACTTAATTATATAAACTTTGAATGAATAGTCATCTACTTAACCGTATCTAACAACAGAATGAGTCTGTCTTTGGCAGTTTGGAAGACGTTTGTGAGCTTTAGTTGACCACCAGGTTGATAAATGCCGTCGCTATGATTCAGCAGCTAAAAATGTTGACATAAACATTAGGCTGCATTAATATGGAAGTGGATCTGTTTAAGCTGCAGGAGGTGGTTGTCTCCCTGTGTTCTGTTGCAAAGGAATATGACTAAAAATAACAAAAGAATAGCATGAGTTCTAGGAACCCATTTGAAAACAACATTCTGTCACATGAATTCACTGATTAACCATTGTTAACAGCTTTGGAGTCTGTTTCCGCATATGATGACCATGTGTTTACAGTAGAGAATTTTTCATGGCTGTTTCCTTTCAGAAGCAGATCACCAGGCTTTATTTTCAAGGTACCTTTGGGTGCATTTGAACCACCAACCTTTTCATATTGTATACAGTGCCAAGAAACTCCAGGTTAACCATTGTTGGTAGTGATGGGTTTGTGCCAGGGAGTAGGGACTGATTTAGTTGATATGCATGTCAGCATGCTGGAGCTGACACGCCAGCAGGTTTTTTGAGGCTGTAATTGCCCAGCAGAACAGCAGTTAGTGGATCCAAACTGCCTGCCTGTTGGTTGGCAGTGCAACTCCTCACCCCCTGGGCCACAAGTGCAAATACAGGAACTATATATCATTTATACCTGATGACATTTCTTTTGCTTGTTTAATCTGCAACCTTCTTAGTATTATTGGGGAATTTAATTGCGTTATTGTGGTGGTATTCATGAAAACTTTTTAAATTTGGCTGTAAAATCTCACACACAGAGAGAAATAGAGCTGTATTTAAGCTGCTTTTGGGTAACATTCACAGAAGGATTTTCAAATGTCTTTTTCATTTCTGTCTGTTTATTTTATTTTAGTAAACATAGCCTGTATCTTGATAGATTCTGAAATCTTACTCCCTGATATAATATCCAGTGGCAATAATTGACTTCTTTATTTTGCTTTCAAAATACCTATAGAACTTGACAGTTAGAGTAACCTTTTTCATGATTATAGAAAAAATAACCATTAGAGTTTATAATTTTAAATTCCAGAAAGCAGGTTAAGACCTCAAGCTTAGAATCAGACAGGCCTACTTTTAAATCTCAATTCTGACCCTTACTGGTTGTAAAACACTAGACGGGTTTCATAAGCTTGCCAAGCCTCCATTTCCTCATTTGTAAGGTGATTAGAGTAAGAACACATCCTCCTTAGATTGTTACAAAGTGAGAATTAATTTGAGTCAACAGATTTATATCACTAGTGTCCCAGTTATCTAGTCCTGCCAAAACAGAAATAGTACAAATGAATGGCTTTAACAAACAAAAATAAACAAAAGCTTCTTTTCTGACAGTTTAGGAAGCTGGAAGTCCACACTCAGGATATTGGCTCTTTCCCTCTGTGGGCTTTGAAGGAAGGTCCTTGTCACGCTGAGCTTCTGCTTTTGAGTGATCTTCGCTTCTCCTTTCCACCATCTCTGCTTAATTGCTTGTTTGTCCTAAATCAACTCTTTATATTTTATAACAGATTACCTTAAAATACATCCTGTATAATCCTGCTTCATTAACATCATAAAGACCCATTACTGGATAATACTATTACTACAAGCATGGAGGCTGGGACTTAAAGCATATATTTTGAGGGAATACAATATAATCTTTGATAGGTATTGTTACTATCAATTGCCAATGAGTCGATTCTGACTTGTAGTGACCTCAAGATGTAGATTAAGAACTGTCCTCTAGGGTCTTGGAGGCTGTGAGATTTGACATGTAGTCTTCCAAGATGCCTGTGGGTAGATTTGAACAGCCAACCTTTTGGCCAGTAGTCAAGCACAGTTCAGCTGCCCAGGGACTCCTATGTTGACACCTTGTCATGTGCTATTATAGTGCTGGATGCATAAAACTGAGAGCTTAAGAAAAATGAGCTGCTGATGTTACTGTGATTAATATCCTCTTGTGTGGATGGATATAGGTAACCATTTTGTGCCTTCTCTACAGGAACCCAATGCTGAAAATGGAAAATGTCCATTAACAGTTGCCCAGAAAAAGTCCCAGAGCATCATGGAGTCCTTTGAGAATCCATTTCGAATGGTGAGTCTTAGTCACACACATTAAGGGTTAAGGGACTACGAAGTGATTTTTACAGGCGTGGCTGCAGAAAACATTTCCTTTTCCTGGAAAAGAAGGTGGGAAATCTTTAGAGAAAGTAGGTTTCTCAGTCCTTGTGTGTCAGCTGTCCCAGGTGTCCAGGTGGAGCTTTCTGATTTGAAGCCTTCTGAAATGAAGCCAAGAGGAAGAGCAGATTCCATTTCTTGCAGCATCTAATATGCCTGTTTCATTCTCTGCAGTATCTGCCCTCACTCGAACACCGTGCCCACATCTCTCAGGCAGCCAAATTTGACCCCTCATCTAAAATCTATGAAGTAAGTTGGTTTATGACTTTTATAAGTGTTTTCAAAGTCCTTTTGTCTTAGTTTCTCAGTACTGCTATTGCAGAAATACCACGTGTGGATGGCCTTCATGAACAGATACTTATTTTCTCATAGTTTAGAAAGATGTTGTTGTAATTATGTGCCATCAAGTGGCCTACAACTCATACTGGCCTTATGTACACCAGCCCTGAAACCGGCGCTCTCCTGAACCAATCTCATCATCTCCGATAGCCCTAATCTTATTTCTCCATTCACTGAGTCAATCCATCTCTTCCTGGGTCTTCCTCTCCTGCACTGTCTCTCCATTCTTTCAAACATGATGTCCCTCTCCAAGATCTGGTCCTTCCTGGCCATGTGCCCAAAGTAAATGAGACAGAACCTCAAAATCCTTGCCTCTAGGGAGCAGCCTGGTTTCACCCTCTCTAGAACAGATCTGTTATTCATGACTCAAAGGCATTGATACTTTTTCTGTCATCCATAGTTATTGTTCAGTTCTTGGATGCATAGCAAATAATTGCTAAGATAATGGCCTGGGTCAGGCGCACCATAGTCTCCAGACTGACATCATTGCTCTTCAGTACTCTAGAGAGGTCCCTGACAACATACTTTCTGAGTGCAGTTTGTCTTTTGATTTCCTGACTGCCGGTGCCAAGAATGTTGATTGTGGAACTATGCAAGGTGTAGAGGTCTGAATTCAGGATGTCATCGCCAGGAGATGGCCGTCTAGTATGCACAAAATCCTTGTTTGAGCTTCTGCAGCATTCTTGTCTTGTGCTCGTAGATCCCTATACAGCATCTGACTTTCCCCCTTTTATGTTTACTTCTGTCTGTGCCTGATTGAAGGAGTCCTGGTGGCACAATGGTTAAGCACTCAGCTACTAACAGTAAGTGCAGGGGTAAAGATTTACAGCCTCGGAAACCCAGTGGGGCAGTTCTGACCTGTGAGTTTGAGTCTTGAGACACAAGGTATACTGATCTGACTCATAAACATAGCAAGACCCTGTTCCCTCTATAGGCTAGACTTCCAGCACTCCCTGGGGAAATACAGTTTAATCTGTGTCACCCTAGAAGGATGAGAAGGGCTTCCTAATTCTTCACACGAGATCTCCATTTTAGACAGGCCCACCTGTGGTTGGATGGACTTTAACTGTAATAAGCCCCAGAGATTGAAAGCTACAAGCAATTTCCATCTCTGCAGTTTTTCTAAGGAAAAGGTCCAGAACTTAAATGAAATTCTGAAAAACATTTTAAGAAATAGTTGTTTACTTGATGTTTCATTTGCACGTATTATCATGAACACATACTAAGTATACAACTTGATGTATTTTAAACATTGTCTTCATATCTTAAGACATTGACTTAGTTGGAGATTTTTTAAAACTGCATTATGAATAAGAATAATAACATGCCCACGAGATTTTTCTGGGAGCCAGCTTATTTTAAAAACCCTCTTCCTATGTGCATCATGGACCATGAGACTGTTTGCAAGCAGAGCAAAGAATGCTACATGGTTCAAAGTTTAAGAATGGAGTATGTTAGGGTTGTATTCTCTCTATATACCTATTCCGTCTGTATACTGAGCAAATCATTCAAGAAGCTGGACTCTATGAAGAGGAATGTGGCATCAGGATCAGAGGGAGACTCATCAATAACCTTCATTACACGACACAACCTTGCTGCTGAAAGTGAGGAGGACTTGAAACACTTGTTGCAGAGGATCAAAGACTATAACCTTCAATATGGATTGCATCTCAGTGTCGAGAAGATAAAGATTCTTCCTCATGGATGGATGATAGATAGATAGATAGATAGATAGATAGATAGATAGATAGATAGATAGATAGATGATAGATGGATGGATGAAAGATTGGAGCAGTCAACAGCTTTGTGTTACTTGAATCCACAGTTAACATCCTTGATACCAGCAGTTGGGAAATCAGGAGATGTATTGTACTAGGAAGGTCTACAGTTTGAGGACACTAAGGTGTATTGGATTCAGGCCATGATCTTTCCAGTCACTTGCTGTGTGTCTGAGAGCTGGACGATGAATAATGATGACAGAAGAATTGATGCCTTTGAGCTGTGGTGTTGGAGAAGAGAACTGAACATCCCGTGGACATCCGAAAGAACAGAGATGTCTTGGAAAGCGTGCAACCAGAGTGTTCTTTGAAGGCAAAGATGATGAAGCCTCACCTCACATACTTGGGGCTATTCCTTGGAGAGGACATGATGCTCAGAAAGGTGGAGGTCAGTGAAGGAGAGGAAGACCCTCGACCAGATAGATTGATATGGTAATTATTGCAGTGAGCTCTAATGTGTCAGGAAGTGTGAGGATGGCACAGGAAAGGACCTAGGGTTCAGATCTGTTGTTCACAGGATTATTATGGGTCATACTCAACTTGACCTCACCTAACAGCAGTTAACATGTGCATCCATAAATGAATGAAAACCCAACCTTTCTGAAGACTCTCATTAAAATCACAATTCTTTTAAACAAAAACAAAACCTCTCTTCCTCCCTGCAGGAAGTACATGCTTTGATCAAATTGAGGGCTGGGGAGAGGGTTGCGTGCTATATCTGTCTGCCCTTTGCACCTATTTTTTTTTATTTTACTATTTGTGTGTACCGTCAAATAAGATCTGACTGGTACAGGAGGAGATTGTCCCTCCTTCCCCGGCAAAGCATCTGGTGGATTCAAACCGTGCGCCTCTGGGATTGTGATGCAGCTTCTTGCCACTAGGCCACCAGAGCTCCCATTGCATCTATTTTTATTTTATTACTATTTTTTTTGTGCATGTACCGTCAAATCAGATCTGACTGGTACATGAGGAGATTGTCCCTCCTTCCCCGGCAGAGCATCTGGTGGATTTGAACCGTGTGCCTCTGGGATTGTAGTTGCAGCTCCTTACCACTAGGCCACCAGAGCTCCCCTGTTGCATCTATTTTTAATTGTTACGGTTTTGTGCTATTGAGTCTAGTACAATTCATAGCAACCCTATAAAGAACAGATCTGAACTCCATGCTGTCATGCACCATCTACATCTCCAGCATATGTGAATCAGGCCAACTCTTGATGGGCACCGGCACTGTCACTGAGGTTTGTCTTGTTTTTAGAAATGGGAGGTAAGGTAGGGCCCTACATTTTTCCCCTCCCCACCACCGCTATCCCATCCCGTCTCCAGTTGTGTCATGTCAGACAAGTACTGGTCTCTCATCATATTCTTGACTTGGCAGAAGCCCTGGTTTGAACATCACCTGCATCATGTACCAGCCATTATTTAACTTCTCTGACGCTGTCTCCTCATCTCTAAGAGTGATGGTCTCACCTTTGTCCCCAGAGTATTGACAGAATAAGCCAGAGGCCGCTTCGACAGCATGCACCCCAGGGCCTGGGATGCCTTGATCGAGAACACTTGCATGGGATTTTGTTTTCTGTGTCTTTCGAATGTGTAATTAGGTTAAAATATCCTCTATCACCTAATGTTAAAAAGAAGGCATTTTTTTGGTGGCTGAATTTGGGACGTTTGGTTTGTTTTCATTATAGATTAGCAATCGCTGGAAGCTGGCGAGCCAGGTGCAGGTACAGAAAGAATCTAAAGAAGCTGCAAAGAAGAAAGCCACTGAGCAAACAGGTATCGTTCACTTCCTCACAAACTAAGGCCCCAATCAGTGTGCTTGCGAAGGATTGGTCTTCCTCCGCCACAGTCTCTTTATTCAGTCATCTGAGATATTCAGTGTCAGAGAGTGAAGAACAAGGCAAACACATCTCCTGCTCTGTGGCGTTTATCTTGTAGGAGATGGTGGGAGATAAACATTCACTCCACAAACGTGTTCTATCAAGTGGCAGTACTATCCAGAGCAAGGCAGTGAGTGCTTGGAATGGGGGTAAGGGGGAATGGTTGCTGTTTACATGTGGTGGTGACTAAAGAAGAGAGTCCAAGAAACCTGGTGCCTGAAGAGAGGCCTGCGCTGTGTGGGAACTGCATGGCGAGCCCACAGGCCCTGTGTTGAGACTTGAGGGGCATGCTCACAGGATTGCCTGGGAGCTGGTGTGCCTGAGATGAGTGGTAGATGTGCCCACTGCGAGCCTGGCCTTGGACCCCTGTTTTCCCAGATTCTCATAGAATCGAGGCTTTCTGGAGCCACTAGGACTGATGAAACCCCAAAGCTGTTTCCCTGAAATAACCTTTAAACTTGAAATAAAAAATATCCCCTCAAGTGTTCTTAGCACTTTTAAAGAACAGCTGCCTTGAACACTGTGCTCTTTTAGAGAACTGTTGTCTGGGATCACACTGACAGCAGCAGAGCCTGGGTGGGCGTGCTTCTGTTGCTTCTGGAAAAGGACGGTGAGAATGAGTGGACGACTTGAAGCATGTACTCAGTTGTCACTGGGTCTTACCTGTAGAAATTGTCACACTGTTGTGTTTGGCTACACATATTCTCAGTTTAAAAAAAAATTAGAATTATTCTAGCTGTTGTGCTGACAGTAGACCAGGTGAAGGCAGAAAGACAGGTTAGAAGACATGACAGGTGATGGTGACTTGGATGAGGATATTAGAGGAGGGGTGCAAAGTCCTCACATCCTGGATCTAGCCTGTGAGTGAGTAAAACCAACCGCATTTGATAATGAAGTGGATATAATATGTAAGAGAAGAGAGCCATAAAGAGAAGATTTTGTCATGAACAAGGGCAAAGAAGGAATTGCCCTCAGTTGAAAGAGGCCGTAGGAGGAGCCTGTGTGAGAGGGAGAAAGGTTTGGCTGTGGTCCTTGGCATGTTATTGTTGCAGTCCCTATTAAACATCCTCGGGACGATGTCGAATAGATCATCATGAGGGAGGGGCAGCTGGAGGTGTCATATGAGCTGCACTGAGGCAGTTTATCCTGCAGTGATTGGAGACATGGACAGAGCCGGCAGAGGAGACAGGAAGAGTCAGAGAAGTGGGGAGAATGAGAGGGTACTGAGAAACCAGCAAAGGCACTGAGATGTTGGGTGACAGGAGTGGAGACTTGGCCGTTGGTTTCCGCACCTCCATGACAGTTCTCTCTTGCAGCTGCCCGGGAGCAGGCAAAGGAAGCATACAAAGCTGCCGCAGAGCAGGCCATGTCTGTTCGACAACAGGCTGTGGTGAGTGACTCTCCTCTGCTTTGTGTTTTTAGAAATGGTGCCCCGGTGCTAATCAGGATGGCCCCTAATACCTGCAATGCCTGGGTCCTGAGCAGGACCTGCCCATGCTTTCTGCTTTGTAGCTCGCTTTTGCTTTTCACGTAGTACCTGCTTCCCCCCCCTCAAAATAGTAAATGTAATTCCTCTTCACTGGTTTCTTCCCCTGTGTTTATGGTTAATATCCTACTTATCGACAGTTATAAATGAGGTGTTGAAGTTTGCAGTGTGTGCCTCACTCTATCCCACTAAATTCTCTACCACCCTTGTTCTTGTTATGTGACCCTGATCCTGACCTGACTCGGCTAACCCTTCAGCGGTTTTTCAGAGTCTATAAATAGGGAGGAGATTGCCAGTTGTGCTCCCACAGAGCTGCTGGCGGACTCTGATTGCCTGCCGTCTACTGCACCTGCCTCTCTGAAATCCTTTGCTTCTGTCTTTGTTTCTTAAATGCCCTGATGCTGCTTTGCTGTTAAGAACATAGTGTCCCAACCTGTGCAGACCTGAGTGTGTTTGTCCTCCCATCCCAGAATGCCCGCCCCCGTCCTCTGCCATCACTGAGTCAGCTTCCACACTGTGTGGGCGGCTGAGTCACCGCCACACGCTGATGCTGGAGCAGGCACGACTCTCCCCTCATACACTCCCATGCTTTTCCCCCCCGGGGTGCCAAACACACAGATCGAGAATGCTACCAAGAAGAGAGAGCGGGCAGTAAGTGACTCGAGTATCACAGAACAGAAGCAAGTCAAAAAAAGACTCAAAGTGTCCGAGAAGCCAAAGGACCCAGACCCAGCAGAAAAAGAGTTTACCCCGTATGACTACAGCAAGTCCGATTTCAAGGCTTTTGCAGGTGAGCACAGAATTGGTTGACCTAAGGCAACCACTTTGATATAAGGGGGCAGTGGGTCTGGCTTGGGCCCAGATCAGGACCTGTCCAAAGTAGCATAGCACTGACAAGAACAGTTGAGACCATCAAGGGAACACTGGTGACAAGAGACAGAAGGCACCTCCCCCTGCTGTAGGGGTCTAGCAAGATGTCACATGTGACTGGCGCCATCCTTCCTCACAAAAATGATGTGTGTCTGCCTGTCTCCATCTCTCTCTCAAACACACACTTACAAACACACCCTGAGAGGGAGGGAGGGAGAGAGAGAGCGTGTGAGAGCACCAGAGCAAAGATTTCAATGAAAAAGTGTAACATGAAGACTTCTTGGCTCCGGTATTCACAAGCCTTGATGTGAAAGTTGCCAGAACTTTCTCAGTCCCTCACTTCCTGAGCATTGTTAGGTGCTGTCAAGTATAATATGCCTCATAGAGACCCTGTGAACAAAAGATCTGAACTCTGTGCCATCCTCACACTTCCTGACACACTAGAGCCCACTGCGGTACTCACCGTGTCAGTCCCCCTGGTCGAGGGTCCTCCTCTCCTTCGCCAACCCTCCCCCCCTTCCCAGCACCGTGTCCTGAGCGGTACACCTGGTCTTTGGGCTGCCCTCAGCTCCTCGAACATTCTCTCTTCATGTATATCATCGATGATCTGCTCACCATCCTAGTGGAGACAGATTAGCGGGCAGGCTTCTCTGAGTGGCTGCCATTGCCCAGTCCGGGAGTGAGCCGTTCTCTGTGTGTTGACGGCTTCATTTCTCTCACCTTCTAGGAAGCAGCAAACCAAAAGCTTCCCAATTCGATCCCAATAAACAGAGCCAGTCGGCCCAGGTAAGGAAGACCCCGGGATGTCAGCACGCTCGTGTGCTGGAAAGACAGGTCCTCGTCTGTGTGTGTCTCTTCCCTCACCTCATTTCCCCCAGATGCCCACAGTATCCATCAGCTATTCTAGCAATGGAAGGGGGAAAGCCCCCCGAGACAGGTGTGGGGTTGTGGAAGGGATTGCTGTGTTTGTCTCCAGCACAGCCACAAACAGCCTCGTGCCACACAGGCCCTGCCTCTGCCCACGGGGCATCGGTGCCCTCATAGAAGTGTCCAGCTTCTAGGCACCAACATTACACCCGTCTGATAGGGCCTCCTGAGTGTGTTTTCCTGGGTGTCTTTTGGTGATTGTTGTCAGCAACTTGAATGGTTTTTTATCTTTTCAGAAAGGCATTGCAGCAAAAAAGCTTAAACAGACAACCGGGAACAAAAGCATGTCTTTTCCAACTGGAAAATCTGACAGGTACGTGATCCCTGGAGGGGGTAGGAGGAGGAAAAGGCCAAGCTGGTATCAGGCGGGTGATTGTAGCGCAGAGCACAGCTCTGAATCCCTCAGCAGGAAGAAACTAAGGAGAGTCTCCCCTTGTCCCCATCCCTGGATCTGTCCTTCAGAGACAAGAGGGAAAGTGATTGGTTTGATGCCACACGTCACATCGCTTGTCACTGAATTCTAAGACTCAGGCTGTCTCCCATTACCTTGTGGGTTCCTGGGGTCACTTCAGAGCAGATGCATTTGAGGTTTTCCTACCTCAACTAATTTCTTAAAGGGGGATGGGAATCGATAAGCAGTTGTGAGGAATGGTGGTTTAGTCTTAAAGTAGAGCCTGCTGCCATGAGATGCGCCCAGGGTGTGGCATCGTGAAGTCAGCTCTTTGGCTTTACATCTAGATACTGAGCTACTTGCTAGCCGTGTGTGGTTGGGGAGGCGCCTCAGCCCCACTCGCCTCTGCTGGAGAGTCGGGAAGCATGGCTGCTCGCCTCTTGAGTCCCAGGAACCCAGGGCTCAGCCCTTCGCCCTCAGATTTGCATGACCAGCGTTTATAGCCTTTTCTAAGTCTCGGCTGAGACCAGATGGGAAAGGGTAATGCTGTTTTCAAATTGTCTTTGCAGAGGCTTCAGACATAACTGGCCAAAAAGATAGTGTTGGAAGAGACCTACAGGATCCCCCAGTGGACAGGAGGCACCAAGTGAGGGTGCTGGTTTTGTACAGACTTATTTTTAAACCATTAAAAATAATTCTTACTGAAAGAAATCTAGTTCCTGGGTTTTCTTTTGCTGCTACCGGGAGAACACGCCCAGCCTGCCGGGATTCCCATCTGCAGCTGCCGGTGAGCAGAGGTGAGGTGCCCTAGGAGGCTGCAGTGACTTGAAAAATCCAGACACTCCCCTGAGGAGGAGCCTCCCATGAGTCAGAAATAGGTGGCCTCCACCCTTTAGCCTGACTCCCGTTCTAGAGACTTCGGAGAGCCCCTTCACGTGCCCTTGGAGCAGTGAGGATGGAGCCAGATGGGAGACGCTGCAGCAGGAAGGGGAGCTTTGGGGTGGGGCCCTTCTGAAGGGCCCACTGCGTTTTCTACCTCTTCTTTGTTCTTTCCTGTTTGTAAAAATAACAGCATGTTCCTTTTCGGAAATGTAGAAAACAGAAAAATGCAAAGAGGAAAATCCAGTCCCCTGCATTCTTACCACAAGGATCCTTCCCTATAAGCTTTTCCTGGATGTGTATATGTCTTTGCTGTTAGTTGCCGTTGAGTTGATGCTAACTCTTGGGGGCCCCATGTGTGCGGAGTAGAATGGCTCCTTAGGGTCCTCCTGGCTGTTCATGTCCAGAAGCAAATCACCACTTAACTTTGAAGGCATTTCCGCGTGGATTTGAACTGCCAGCCTTTTTGTTAGTAGCCTAGCACTTAACCATTTACGTCATCCAGGGACTCCAGATTAATTGTGATTAAAAACAAAACGCTCAAAACAGCTATGAGATATCATCTCACCCCAGTGAGAATAGCAAAATTCAACAGAGCAGCAAACAACAAATGCTGGCGAGGTGGAGAAACTGGAACCCTTATTCACTGTTGGTGGGAATGTAAAATGGTGCGACCACTGTGGAAGGC